GCTTCGCTTAGCCAACGGGGCGGGCAGCGCGGAGCTGGCTCTTCCGATTGCTCCATCTCCCCCTGACTCCCAAACAGCCTTTCCCGTCGGACTTTCTCCCTGCTCCCGGGTGGACAGATGGGCTACTGTTTTCCCGGTAATCCTCTGGAAGCGCAGGAACTTGGGCTTCCGGCGGCGTTTGGGTACTGTGCACAGTGCCTCCTGTTTCTTTACACGACCCACTGCCTAGGAGTGGCGGTTGGGCACCACCTTATTAAAGAAGAAGATAGCGTGAGCCCCATAGTTTTATCCGACTTTCCCCCAGTGGCTGTAAATTATTTACCCCTGGAACCGCCGGTGACATTCTTTGCGGTTTTCAGATTAGAAGTGAGTCTATACCCCCAAAGTTCTTATTGTCTGCTGATGTGGTATTTTTCCGTCAGAAGGAATTTGCCCTAACAAAGAGTTTATTCTTTTACGTTCGGGGATTAGTAATATTCATAAAACTTCACTTTTGTGTCACTAGTGTTGAGACGTGCAGGAGACTTTAAAATAGTAAAGATAAGTAGTTTATTCATGATGGAGAGAGGATCCTAGGTTGAAGGCTACATTCACCAGTTAGCAAAACACAATAGGTTAGGATTATCATAAAGATGTAACGATCGTGTTTTATTGAGGCTCTTTGCTTGTAACTAGAAGTGAACTTTCAATTAAATCTTGACATTGTGCCAAGCTAACACTTTATGCAGTTAAGTCCCAGATGGGACTCATTCCTGCCAGTAGAAATTAAATGTGGAAGTGTCATCAGTTTGCCTCCACTGATGCCTACTGTGTAGGTGCTAGCTGAAGTGAGAAATCTTGAGCTTCACATTTCCTTAAGTAGTTTTGCTAGAGATAAAATGATAATTTCTACTACTCCTCTTTGGTTGTAGTTTAGTATAATTTAAGTACTAGCGTTCTGTGTGGATTCCTTGAATGTCACGAAGTCACTTGGCCACTCCTCTACAGGTTGGTGGTTGTAACTCACCCAGTGGTGCCTCAGATGAAAGGCCTGGCAACTGCTTTCAAAAGGTCACAGCCCATAGGGGCAGATCTACCCCATCGTACAGGGGCAATATATACATATTTCCACAAATGACTAATGAGACATTTCCTTGTCTTATGTGGTAATATAATATTGTTTTATAAACAAAATGTCTTTATTCATTAAATAAGGAAAAAGAAAACCATGGATTATGATTGTTTTATAGATGAATCATAACATACCCTTTGGTAAACTTATAAGGTGGAAACGTTTTTCCTTTAGGTAAATTATATAAATTATCTGTGGACTTTCAAAAATTGTAAAATATGTGAGTTGTCTCAATTTTCTTATAAACTGCTGAGTCTTATACACTATTAGGCCAATGTTTGACAACAAGTAGCATACCCTAGAAGAAGCTGTAAGATTGTTCTTCCTTGTTTTCAAATTTGTTAACAGATAAAAGTTAAACAACATACAATATTGAATGTATATATTTTTTTCTCTTTTCTAAAGCATCCTTTGAAAGATTTATTTATCTTTTTTCTTTTTTAAATGGCAGTGTAAGGTACTGTAGAGGATGGGATAGTTAAAATTACCTCTGTGATTAAGGTTTAATTATCAATAGCCCACAGTGTTAAGCTGTGGACCCATGTGATTTGAGCTTTTTTTGTTAAAATATTTGGAGAAGATTTGGCTTCCTTCCATGTTGGTTGATGTTCTCAGCTGCATAATTTGTGTTTTATGTAGCCTGACGCAATTTGCTTAAACAATGAAATAACTATATTAAGGTACGTAATTGGAAGTACTGAGAAGTAGATAGATTCCATAATTATTTTTTTCAATAATTTCATCTTTCCCTTTCTCTGCCCCACTCACCACAAAGTTGATATCTTAAGGCTACACTTTTGCATACCATTACAGATTACAAATCAGGCTCAGGAACGCTCAAAATACATTTCTCTATTCAGGATACCCTCTTCTCAATAGTGCCTGCAGGCATATCTTTCTCTGGCTCTCAGTGCCTCAGCCTGAAATCTACCTGCTCCAAAGGTTAGCACCCCACTGTGCCAGCAAGTCTCCTGCAGAAAGTCTTCAGCTTTCTTGCTCTGTGTGATGGGAATCCCAGTGCATCATCTCCTGCCAGTCTCCTTGTGCTGCTGCCTCTGCTGCTACCATTTCTCTGTCACTTTTTTGTACTGTCTCCCCTTGTCTACTGTATTTTTATTATGTAGCTGTTTCCTGAGTCTCGGAGGTTCTCAGTTCAGGAACTTTGGGTTCAAAAGACCAACTGTGCTTTCCTCTCTTTTTCTTGGTGGTAATTAGGTCCCTGCAGGGGAGTAAGTTACTTAATGCAGTTCTTCTACGTCCTAGGCAATTTTTCTAACTCCCACCAAACTACCTGTTCTTGCATGTGTCTGATAAGAAGATAGTCCTATAAGTCAGTGGTTCTCAACCTTCCTAATGCCGTGACCCTTTAATACCGTTCCTCATGTTGTGATGACCCCCCAACCATAAAATTATTTTTGCTGCTACTTCATAACTGTAACTTTCCTACTGTTAGGAATTGGGCGACCCCTGTGAAAGGGTTTTTGGACCCGCAAAGGGGTCTTGACCCACATCGCAGTGGTTCTCAACTTTGTTTATCATGATGTCACCTATTGTGAGGATTTTAGTCTTCTTTACATTGCATCGTAATCCAGACTGAAGGCTGTAATCTTTGATCTTCATCAGCAAGTACTTCCCCTGCTTTTGTTGGAAAGCGGGAGTTGATTCTTATCGACAGCATTTGGAATCACCTTTGTATTTGTGAGTTTTGATAATCCTTGGTGATTCTGAGCTGTAGCTCACCTAGAGGGGCCAATCTCCTTTCCACCCTCTTATTACATCAAATCCAAGGGATTGGGATAAATTACAGATCTTCCCCCAGCTTGTTTGACTTTCCAGACCCTTGACAACGCCCCTAGACTGCATTGTAGATCAAAGGCATTCTTTATTGAAGGACCAGGAAACTCTCAGGGTAGTGCAATGTAAGTGGAATAAAGGTTGATATTCTAGCTGATGGACTTTTTTTCCCCTTAAAATCTCCAGGGAGATGCTTCTAGATTTAGGCTTTTGCTAGGCCTTTTGCTGGATACTATCACATCTGTCTCTGTTGCATACTCCTCTCTCTGCTTATATTTCTTCAACAAATATTGTTTTTTGTGTGGCTGTTTTAAGTGCTGACAATATAGTGGTGAATAAGACAGGCATCATCTCTACATTGTGAGTTTAATTTCTAGTGATGGAAGGTAAACAATAAACAAATCATTAAGGTTTGTGTTGAGTCTTTGAAGAACGATGGAAGCATTAAACAGATGAAGGATGAGGGGGGAGAGGCTGTATTAGAACTGTCAGGGATACCTTTTAGAATGTAACAATTGAGAACTGTGTGAGGACAATAGGGGCAAGAATGTTTTAAGTGGAAAGAAGTGGAATCCTCAAATGAGCCTCTGCTTGATAAAATAAGGAATAACAATAAGGCATCTGAGTGATCACAGGCAGAAGATGAGGTCGGAGAGAGACACAGGAGAGAGACACCTGCCTACATGCAGCCCCTTCCTGTTTTGGGGTCTGGCGATGCCATCCTCAGCGTACTCCTCACAGGAAGAAATATTTCTTCTTGAATCCTATTTCCATGTTTTGTAAGGTTGAACCATGCCTCTGGCTTCTGCAATTCCACTCTCCTTTGCTCCGTTATTTTCTTCCACACCCCAAGAAGATAAACATTTATTTTTCCCAGATGTCACACAGACTTAATTATACTGTGAAGCCCTCTAGACTTACCTCCATTATTGTTCTGAGAAGCATTTACATCTTTCTTGCCTTGCTGGAATCCTGTTTTGTAATTATAAGAATCACAAGCTGTCAGTCTTTGTTCTCTTTGTTTCCCCGAAGGAAAAGGTTCTTTTTCAATGTGCCAGACCTATTGAATTATTTTGATTCTTCTCTGTTATCTAGTTAAGTGGAGGAGATAGTGCATGTACCACATGGATACCCTTCTATTTTCTGTCATTAGTGTATCTTAGAAACATTTTAATGACTACTTAATAATTCATGTATACACCCCAAAGAAGCCTGGTGCCACGGAGTTGACTGACTCATGACAACAACAGAGTGGAACTGCTCTGTTTCCAAGGTGGAGTCTTTACAGAAGCTGACTGCCATGCAGTCCTCTGCAGAGCCACTTGTGGGTTTGAGCCCGCTTTTTGGCTGGTAAGCCAGCACTTAACCACCTCCAGGTTCCCTTACTCATTGCGCTGTGTGCCTTATTTAACCAGTTTTTTGTGAACTATTATTTTGAGTAAAGTTTTTGAGGGGGGTGTGGAAGTGGAATTTTTTAAATCTAAAAAATTCGATTTAAAAATACTTATAAACTGTATAATACTCAGTATTTGTTACCTGATAGGAGCCCTGGAATACATATTGGACTGCTTGCTACTGCAAGATCAGCAGTTTGAACCCACCAGCCACTTGGCAGGAGGAAGATGGGGCTTTCTGTCTTTTGAAAGATTTACAGCTTCAGAAACCCCAGGGATTCTTAGGGTTTCCTTTTCTGAACATTTCATATAAATGGAATCATGCAATTAAGGCCTTCTGTGACTGAGTAACTTCATTTAACATAATGATTTCAAAGTGCATCTGTATTTTTATTATCTGGATAATGCAACATTTTGTTTATTCATCAGTGGATGGACATTTGGGTGATTTCCCTTTTTTGGTTACTATGAATAATGCTTCTAGGAATACTCATGTACAATATTTTCATGAACATATGTTTTCATTTCTTAGGTATATACATACATAAGAGTGGAATTTCTGGGTCATGGACTTTGTGCGAAACCTCCAAACTTTGTACCATTTTACATTTCCATAAACAGTGAATGAGGATCTCAGTTTCTTTACCTCCTCACCAATACTGACTTTATATATTTCTAATAATATGGGTGTGAAGCGCAGTATCTTGTTTCGGTTTTTATTTGTGTTGTCATCTGGCTGATGAGATGGCATATCTTTCCATGTGCTTATTGGCCATTTGTATAGCTTCATTGGGAGAAATGTCTGTTTTGTTCCATTTTAAATTGGTCTGTCTTTCTGTTGTTCAGTTGTAGGAGTTCTCGTAAATATAAATCAAATATATGATTTGCAAATATTTTCTCCCATTTGGTGGATTGTCTTTTTACTTCCCTGATTGTCATTTGTAACACAAAGCTTTTTGATGTTCTAAAATTTATTTTTACTTTGTGTGCTTATACTTTTGGTGGTATATCTAAGAACACATTTGCTGAAGTCACAAAGCTTTATGCCTAGATTTCCTCCCAAAATT